ACCACGGAAGACGACCAAGAATGACCTAAAGATGGCAAATGTCCCGGCAGACTCTGTTTCAGAGTCAGGTTATCTGCTGCGGAGGATCAAACACTCGCAAAGGTCCGAAAGGATAAGCATAAACGAAACTGACTAACAGACCAACAACGTGGTGTTGCTTTGTGCACATGCATACCAAGCGTTAAAATATCCTGAAACTTTGGCATGCTTATACGGTCCCTTAGGCTATTAGGAGCAATAGGACGCGCAACTACGCTGTGCGAATTTAGAAAAGTGACAGGAGATTGTTAGTTGCAACTGTTTCGTTTTTAGACCATTAGATACTTTTAGACAGTGGAATTACGCCAAAATTAACTTTTTTAGATAACCTTCCTTAAAAGTACGTCATATTTTTGAGGTCAGGGTACCCGTGACTGAATATCTGCTTCTGAAAGAATGAAAAAATCCGTCTGTAAATGAAGATTAACAAAAAATGTAAAATCAATGTTCCTGTGAACCTTCTGCAGCGAACAGAAGCCAACAAATTGCTCAATCAGTGGTGAAGATAGCCGTTGCTCTAAATTGCATTTTTGTTAACTGTGAACTTCACTGGACAAAGAAATTGGTGCAACGATAAACACACATAAGCGAACGATTTTTGTTCTCGAAATAAATCACGGATTAAACAATTTATTGCTGTCCACTAAATGACAATTCACCGGTATACAGAATATCGATGTCTAAATAATCGGTTTACGTAACACAGTCAGGTTCAAAATTCCACGATATGTCAGAGTTTAAGTACAGCTTTAGACCTAGATCCTAACGCGTACCCTTGAACGAAACTGCATAACATAAACAGATTAAGCAGACATCGAAATCTGTGCAAACATGTTGTCTTAGTGTATATTAAAACAGAGTGGTATACATTGTTATTTATTTCGAAATTAAAATCTTACTCATATGGCCGCTGTGCCAACTTATAGTACCCATTTGCGTAGGTGATATAAATTTATCTCATCATCCTCCGATGTGACTGACAAACAGAAAACACACTGACTTGCTAACAACTAGATCAGCATGGCATTCTGGCGTGTTCGTGCCAGATTCCGTGAGGCACAGGACTGTTATTCCTGAGGCATGAGCTTTATGGCTACAATTCGGAATGATCTCATTAGAACAAAGCAAATAATACCGCCGAATATCCGGAACAGATAATACTGCCGAAATTAAATTTGAAAAATCAAGAAATTTAACTCAGCATCTGTAAGGGGGCAAGAACTACTGTATACAAATTGTCTAGAAGGTGAGTTTATGATCGGTTAGGAACCACTGTCACAATCCTATTAAACTTACCTTGTGTTTCTCAGCAGAAGAGCCGATCGCAGATGATCTGCCGGAATACGACGCGCCGTCAGGCGGCCGGGAATGTCGATCAGACGTTGACGATGATCGACCACTTCTGGAATGGCCTGATCTATCGATGGCCTTTTTCGCCAAATCAGCCGCAACCGCACCGACGCTGTTGGCGGACTGAGAATGGGTACCGGTGCTGCTCAAAGGAAGGTCATGCTTCGCGCTTGCGCCGTGATGGCTCGACGCGGACAACGTAGTAGGGAGAGAGGTATGTATCTTGCCGTGACTGCTGCTGGCTTGGGTCTGACTAACCAACAACGGTTTCAACGATGGCGATGAATTCTTTTGACTGTCTACTAAAACAGGTTTCAATGACAGTTTTAGCCGATGGACAGTGTTTTTATTGCTGTCCCCGCTGCCACCACCGCTGAAGTGGGTACTCTCCTCCTTGCGTACTTTTGGCCGAGATGCGCTGGATGACGAACCAACGACCGAATTAGCGGTAGATGTCGAAGCCGCCGCTACCATCGTAGTAAAGGACCGCTTACGTGATATGTCGCCAACTGTCATCTGCTGAGAAGAAGAATGAGACGTCGAGTGGGCGGGTGGCACTCGGTGCGACGACGCGTGGCTATACGAGTGTGGATCAAATGCGTCGATCCTACCGAACTCCGTGAACAATTCAGATTTCAAGGATATATCGGGAATGAAGCTCTTGCGGTGAGTTACTGGCTCGTTACCGTCGGCACTAGCCTTGCTAGCCGCTGCCAGTTCTTTCTCACGTCTCTCCTTGTAACACTTTAAGTCAATGATATTTGGTGACTCAGACTTTGGCTTCCTTGGCGAAGCAGCGTCAGCGGTGGACGCTATCGGTTCATGTTTAACAATCCCTTCAGGAAGACGGTCCAAATTTTTGTTCGTGCTGGACAACAATATGCCGCTTCTTTCATGAAGAGGCTGCTCTCCTTTAACCGGTTTCGAAACTTCCTCTTTCGAAGATAAGACGACCGCATCGTTTGACCTGTTCTGCAAAATATAGGACGATGAGGGCAGTGGAGCAGTCATCATCGGCTCTTTCCGGGTGCCAAGGCGCCGCAGTTTCCAACGTTCAGGGGCCTTTTCGCATATGCACGCGAATTCGTGGGCAAGCGCTATCAGCACGAAACAGCATGAAACAGCGATCAAGCGTTTTCAACCGGATTTACCTTCCAGCGTCTTTTTAGTGAGCGAGCTGTCGACGTAGGAGTACCACGGCTTACCTTCTTGAGACATCGGAATCTAAACAGCAGCGTTGTGAAAACAGCAAATCGCAACTATAAATGGGACAGTTTTGGGGAAACTGAGTCTCAGTCGAAGGAAGTACTAAATAACGAGCGAAAGCTCAAGGACACCAGAATTCCCTTACAACACCTGTTAAAAACTTCGAATGACTACGGTAACACCTTGCATCTGCCTGAACAAAGTGCTTCATGAAACGCTAACGTCCCGACAGAACGATGTGATTTCACATCCATCATATGCAAATGTTATAATCTATTAATGCGTGGACTGTTTAAATGGCCACCAGTCTTTAAGAACAAGAGCATGATTCTGACCATATACTACACGTGGAATTCGCGGAAGTAAAGAAAACTTATCTCTGATAGTAAACCTAGGTTTCTACAGGATAATTAAATATAATCACATGGCCCATACTACGATTTGAACAGCCAACCGTCTACGAAATCAACTGCATCTGCAATGGACTTTAGAACGACCAGAAGTGACCAACGAAAACAGCATACGGTCAAATAACGTCTTTCGGTAAGCCATCTTTACCTTCTGACTTCTGATTCCATACCATGAACTAATATGCTATATATCTAAGCAAAACAGTAGCAAAATAACATATGGATAGATTCACCAGAGCGGCATACGTTACCTGAAACGGTAGTACGCACAGACAGTTATAGAGACCTGCAGTTAGATTATGTGAATGGGATACTTAGAGCGAAACACGTCGAACCGTCTCCATCTCCGCGCAACCTGGCACTTTCCACGGCATGGGGCTGCAACACTGAGGCGACTGAAAGTCAACGCTGCGATTGTCTCCGAGAAAGCCGAAGCGTGGGCTACCGCTACCGCGATCAAAATCGCACTGCGCAAACGTTGTCGGCTGGACAGAAGAGTGAGAAGGCGAGAGCCGGGAATGGGGTTATTAACTGTGAAGGTAAAAAATGAATGAAACGAACTCGTATGCATAACTGAAAGCCAACGTCAGAACGCTTAGCATGCAAAACGAAGATCAATCGGATTACGCAGACCGGACCACAAAAATCAGGTCGTCTCGAGAGGCAAAAGCAGCAATGGACGGGGAACGAAGAAGAACGAGAGGATCAAGAAGAAACAGGCTGAAAGAACGACGCGGACTCAAGCATAGCCGAGCCGACAGACGGTTTGGCAAGTGACAATCGATAGCGGATTATACCGAAGGGAAAGTAGTTGCCAAAAACAAGCACACTACCTCCCACTTAGCCCAACTGCAGGCTAAGTGAATGCAAATGCAGGCCACCACGGCGGGCCGGTAGCGGAGGCAAAACGTCGACAGGTGCAGACTAAAAAACAAAAACATTTAGTCAAAAAATGGAACAAAAACGCAGCATTAAACAATTATCAAATCAAGATTTGAATTTAAATCAGACATCGCTGTAGTTAGACGTAAAGAGCTAACGAATGGGTCCACTTATAATTGTTTCATAAACAGTATTACGTGTTCCAATTTTAGCTTATTTAGTATCAGTAGTCATTCGGTAGGTCAAGAAAAATTGCAGTCATAAACAACAAACATTACACATTAAATCGTCAAAAAGTCTCTCATGTGTTGAATGAACTTACATTGCACCTGAGATGCGAATTCAGTATCTCTAAAAAGCACTGTAAACTACTAACCAGTTGTGCAGCTGCCCTTCCCCACCACCCACACAAAAACATCGTCTACATGATGAAGGATTCTTTAGTTCCCAACATAGTCTGAATCTATCAGGGTGTTGTCATCCAAATAATCTAAGTCAGTGATCTGAAATCCGCGACTGGACTTCATACCACTGCCGCACTGACACACAGTGCGTAGAATTTAGTCGATGGACTTCTTTATGTATGTAGAACAAATTCGCCTATAAAAAGAACGGAGGACTGGAAGACACCAAACACCTTAAATCATGAAAGTAACCGTTATAAAACTTATCATCGCGCTATTCATTCTAATAAGCGTTACCGAACAGGTACTGAGGTACTAATTCAAACAGAACAAAATTTCTACCCTACAGCAGCACTCAGTTCTCCTGGGAAAGGCAGAATTAGGTAAATGACAGAAGACCGCCAAAATCAAGCAGGCTTCCGGATGGGGTATTTCTTTCCCTGCCAAATTTTCACTCTGCATGAATCCCTGAGACCAATGTCGACCACTCCCATTGCCTTGGTCTGTCTGTTTCTTCAACTTTAAGGATGTATTTGATCTTCTATATCGTCGGACAATGCGTAAAATCCTGAAATGCCATGGAA